CTAAACACGTCTAAAACTACACAGATGATGGAGGAGGAGGTGCCCCCACCCTTACAACCTTTAGTTGGGTGGTTAGAGCACACACCCAGGATATAGGAGAGCCTGGTTCAATTTCCCCCTGATGTGTGTCTTCCCCCTCTCAGGAGAGTGCCCTGACCACTAGGCTATGCGGTATTCTGGGGGATGTCTCAGTCTCTGTTCCACTTTGTATAAATACTTAAATATTAGAGCAGGGGCCCTGGAACCTGGGCCTCCCATGTCCCAGGTGAGTGCCCTAGTCGCCAAGCTGTTGTCACACACTCTCTCTGGCCCAGTGTGTATTTAATTATTTATACACAGTGGTACAGCTCCAGCAGGAGAGAGTGCACAAGACCACCCCAGAACAGCCTGTATCCCTGGGGTCTGGGCAAGACCGCACTTCGAGTTCCTGATCCACATCAGGCAGACAGGGGCTTTAAACTCATTTCCTCTATAACCTTGAGGGAGTGCTCCTACCCCTGGGCTAAAGGTCATCAGGGGCAGGTGGCACCTCCTCCTTGTTTTTCTTGAAAAATGACTGACTTGGCTTAGACACCTAACTCCAGGAGAGGGTTTACATCTGTGAACATCGAGAGGAGGGAGGTGCCAGAGTTAGCCACCTAAATCCCTTGGAGGGACAGGGCTTAATCCACACCCCTCAGAGTATTTCCTACTGGTAACTGAGGTGGCTCCCCACTCAGCTTACTGGCTTCTAAGAATCCCATTTTTAGGAACCCGACTATCCTCATGCATTGTGAAGGAACCCTGAGTCCTGCAATGCCTAAGTTCCCCTTATGAGTCCCCGCCAACAATGTGGGCCGTACTTACAGGATAAGTGACTATATCGTGGAAAGTAGTGAGTCTACAAAGGACTTGGGGGAGGGAAAGGTAATAATGGTGGATCGCTGTTGCCAAAAGGGCCATTGTGACCCTGAAATGTGTAAACAGGGAAATATCAAGTAGGAGTAGGGAGGTTAAATTACCTCTGGTTTTGTCACTGGTGCAACCTTTACTGGAATGCTGTGTCCAGTTCTGGTGTCCGCAGTTCCAGAAGGATGTTGATAAATTGGTAAAGGTTCAGAGAAGAGCCCTGAGAATATTAACGGCTTGGGAAACATGCCTTACAGAGAATAGACTCAAGGAGCTACATCTGTCTGGCTGAAAGAGAAGGTTCAAGGGTGACTTGATCACAGTGTATAAGTGCTTACGTAGGGAATAGAAATTTGGTAATAAAGGGCTCTTCAATCAAACAGAGAAAGGCATAACAAGATCCAATGGCTGGAAATTGAAGCTAGACAAATTCAGACTGGAAATAAAGTGCACATTTTTAACAGTGAGGGTAATTAACCATTGGAACAACTTACCTAGGGCTGTGGTGGATTTTCTATCACTGGAAATTTTTTAATCAAGTTTAGATGTTTTTCTGAAAGATCTGTTCTGGTTCCAATAGGAACTGCTTCAGGGAAGTCCTCTTGCCTGTGTTATAAAAGAAGCCAGACTGGATGATTCCCAATAGTCCCATCTGGCCTTATAATGACGGTCTGAGTAGGGCCTTAACAAAAAGTTTCTCTTCAGCACATTGACAAAAATCCCCTCCCTATCAACATGGACTGAGCTGCAAAGTTGTATAGATCTAGGCAAATTGAAAAGCATTAGTAATGCTCAGACTATAGTCATATAATAACCAGCCCCTGACATTTTTCTGCTGCTCTCGACCCAATCAAAGTGCTATACACATCAAAATCTTTCCCTTTTAAAGGGTATTTAAACTTAATATGGACTAATAACTTTGCCACTGCTGAGTAAAGCAAACCTGGGTCAGTTACAGACTAATACTATAACCATACATAGGTGCACGCACACACACACACACGGAATAAGGTTGAGCAAAATCCACACCACTGTGAAAAGTAGGTTTATTTTCCCTAAGTGCTTCCTTTTCTGTGGGGTAAAATGTAGGTCAAGCTGTCTGAAACTACCTCTATGGCACACTGAGAGCTAGATTAAATGAGAATTTTCTACTCACTACACTGCCAATCAATGCAGTGTCTGGAAATGTTAATTTAATCAGGCGTGAGCTGGAGTTGGCATTCAGGGAAGCTTCTGGAGCTCCAGGGTGGAGCTTAGCCTTCTGTCAGGAAAACACCATTTTCTCTCAATAAGATGTGGCTACATCCTGGCTGCTTGCCTAATATCCTCAGTGGGAGAAAGAAAACCAGTGCAGTACAAGGCAGCAACTTCTCTGCGATACAGTGATTTTTATTACAGCAGTAACACAAGGAGGCAAGCAGTCAAAGAATAGGGGACTCAGCGTCAAGAGGATGTGGAGGTCTGTTCCTAGCATTGCCAGATGCCTCTGTGACCAGCCATGCCCTACCTCTGCCTGTCTCCCCAGCTGTAAAAGAGGAACCGGCACCTACTGTGCAGGCTGCTGTGAGGTGGAGTTAGTTCGGAAAGTACTTTGAGATCCGTGAATGGAAACTGTTACGGGTACAACGTCTTAGTATTCGACTGATGCATTGTATGGTGGGAACATGTACCTTCCACGGGCCATCTTCACCCGCCCTTTCCCTCTCCCCCCCCACTAATGATAAGCGAGTCTGCTCCATTTTAAATAGTAGGTGTGTTCTCCAGGCTCCTGGCAGTGTGGTCTTCAGCTGGACATAGTCTGGCCACCATTGAGTACAACTGGTGAAGATGGTAGCCTGAAATGGACACATTGGCTGAAGCAATCATTTGGCTGGCAGACTGGAGAAGATTTGAAGGGCTGATTTAACCAAATAAAATAAAAATCATGCAAGTATTTATAATGCCCAGAGCTAGGGTTCTTTAAAACTGGCACAATAGGGAGCCAGAAGAAAAGAGGGCTGTTGTGAAAGTGCAAATGGGCATGTATTAGGAGAGGATTCAACAGCATTTTAATTACAACTCACTCAAAGCACCACAGATCAAATCTGTGATAGTGAGTGAGGACTGATTAATTTGTGTCTGCGTGATGCCATCTCATTATACACTGATCTTTGGAAGAAAAGGGGTTAGAATGTTAAAAATACGATGGTTATAATATGGATCAATACAACTGGGAGCCTGAAAGCAAGACCTGAAGGTTTTACAAGATTGTGGCAGATGCTGTATTCATCATGTAGAAGGAAAGCGCTCCTACTGCTATGAGACAGCCCATTTATAGCTGGTTTGGGGTAGCAATCCATAGACAAAGATATTAAACCACAAGCTGAATGTCATATGATAAATACAATTATACAAATACAATTATAATTAAAAACAGATGAATTAAATGACAGTTTCCAGAGAGTGCTTGACTCAATGGGTAGAACTGGAGCAGAGGGTCAGAGATTTGGAGCACTTCGAAAAAGCTATATCTCCGTTTCAGGGGACCTGCCTCTGTACTCCCCTGCTCCCCAGTCAGGTATCCAGCCACCACCTGTCTCTGGGCAGGGCCACTTGTCCCACACCCTTCTGACTGGGGGGCTTTAAGAATGCACAGCTCCCTGCCAGCCACTGCGACATCCCCAGCCAGTCTGTGTGTTGCACTTTCTCCCCAAGTGCTATGAACAGTCTGTTGCCAGCAGTATCTGTTACTATGGAGCTGTGATAACTCCCCTCCCCAGTCCCTGGAGTGGCAAACAATCCCTGAATCCACAGTGATATACAAGCTTCACACAATATGGTCTCCAGAGCTATCGCACGTGGTTACAATATCTGTCACGGTGAGGAACTACCTTATTTTTTTCCAGTTGCATCCTTGAATTGAACTGGTACGACAGGAATTGAAACGCTGGCGGTTAACATACTGAGGGAGCCAGAGAAAAAGGGAAAATGGTAGGGAATTAGTGATAGGGTTTGTTGTTCGTCAATAAGCATACACTCAAGGTTTAAATAATCAAGTCATTTGAACGCATGACCAGATATACCACAGTATAGAGCAGCAAATACATCACTCCATTGGCTCCTCCTCTATTTTAGAACAGAAATCAAAGTCCTGGTCCCTATGTACAAAGCCCTTAACAGAGTGAGACCTGGCTGCCTCATCCTCCACAGGAAGAGAGAGAAAAACCAAGGTTTAGGATGACAGACTTTGAGCAGCACAGCATTCTAAGCACCCACAATCCAGCAATGAAACTAAGTTGGAAGATCTCAGACTCCAGCAATCCTGAGATCAGGTCAAAATGTGGGATACAACTTTGCCCCAGGAATAATGTTAAACAAAAAGCTCACCGTGTAATACTTGTGCCTTGAAACCTGGAATAAAGAGAACAGCCCATGTTTGGGGGGATTTTCATTCTTCATAATTTTGTTTGACTCTTCAGCACCAAGGTGAAAGGCATCTTAAAATAGCTTGAAATGTGCCCATCAATGGTATCTTGTTAAGACTTGTTTCACAAAGATTTTCAAGGATCATTTCAGCTCATCTCTTTTGAGCCCTGTCTATCCCACCCTCCTCCATCTCGTGACAAGATTGATTTAATTTAAATCAATGGACAAAGAGGATCTGTGTTTTTCCAGGACAAATGAATTGTATCCTGTAAATTAGTTTTTTATTCAACCTTTTTAACTCCGGGGTTTGGGGAATATAGTATTTACTATACTGGGTCAGACCACAGGTTCATCAATCCTGGTATCATATCCCAAGCAATGGCCAATAACTAATCCTTCAGATGAGACCCCCATTAAAAAGGAAGTCTAGGTAGTTTAAATGAAGAGATTATCTGTCTTTATAAGGGTTTTCTTTTAGTACTTCACTTATTTAGAATTTAAGAACCAACTAATTCAATTCTCCAAGATTCCCTAATAATCAGGAGTCGGAAACAATCCGTTTCCTAGGACAGTCATTAACTGTGGGAGGAAAAAAGGTGGATACGTTTGGTTGAGCAAATGCTGCCATCGTGGATCAGTTTGATGTTACCCCCTTTCACTTTACTCCCTCGGTTTGAGGAGAAAACAAATTCATCAGGAGACAAATGTTATTTCATGATTTTTAATAATTTTGTGCTATGGTTTGACCAGAGCATATTAAGAACAAGCATAAAATCTGTATTTAAAACTAACAACAGCACTTAGAGCAACATCTTTCTTTAAAAGTATTGCAATAACAGACCTTAGGTCTAAAAACTAGGACATCACCATTTGCTCAATTAAAAGAGGCAGATACACAACAGATGAAATCTTCTTCTCCTGTATATAACTGGGAGTTATGTTGGAAAATAAGCAACAGGTTGATTGTGTTAAAGGAAAATAAAAAAGTCTTTAAAGCAAGCCAGGTTTGTCACAGCTTCACATAAACAGTTACTGAGAAGTTCCAATACAGTTGTAAAAAGACTTTTTCTTTTAATAGACCTGTTTTTACAACAATAAAATTTAAATGAAGGATTAAATATTGTGGATAGTGCTGTACATATTTCGGAATAACGTGAAACAAAATGGACAAAAATCCAGACAGACGTGTTGAAAAATGTGATCCTGAAAGCCACAAAGTTAGAATCACCAAAAAAAAAAAAAAAAAAAAAAAGACCCATACAGCAATAAAGCATATTAGGCTGTAAAATAATAACTAGCAATAAACAACAAAAATGGTCAAAGCTCTGAAAACAGGCATTAATCTGATGATAAATTCTAGGTATAATAGCTTGATCAATGTACACACCATCATGAAACACTCTGACACAGAGGCACTAGATAGTTGAGAGCCACAAAAGACAAATTTCTTGGCAATGCTTAGCAAGCCTTTGTACTGCAAGTAAAGAAACAGTTGTTTTGTTAAAGAATATTAAGCTGAATGAGTTTTGTGTTTTATTTTTGCTGTCCAGCAGTAAGATGCCTTGGGCTCTCATAACTTCGGATCATAGTTCTTTTTAAATCATGGATGCCTGCTGCGCGTTGTAGTAAATGGGATGTGTGAACACAGAGCTATGGTTACACTTCATAGATTTTCTAATCTTTTCACTGCAGCTTCAAAGGAGATTAGTTACTTTTAAGGGAGACATCATCCTGTTTGGTCCACTCAGTATGCAAGGTTTGCTATTGTAAATCATACTCTAGGCTCCCCCTGCACAAGGTTTACTTTGTAAATGTTCTTCGTAGTCGAGATTTTTTTCCAGACACACACATTCTACTGCAGTGCAAACAGAAATGTGGAAATGGCCGGCAAGACCTATTTGCAAAACTTTGTGCCTGATAAACAATGAACAAGTTAACAAACGACAACCATAAAGTAGGCAGATTCAGATATGTTACCTGCTTACTGGCTAGCACAGCACAATATACAGAAAGGGATGGACAAAGCTACTTGCAAGGGCATGAGGAGAACTGGCCACAAAATCTACACAGTTCTTTAAAACAAAACAAAACAACCGTGATCACTAGTCAGGTACAGGACTGCTGTGATGGTTTCTTTAAAAGATATTTAGAGACAAATGGTTAGCTGAAGTTTCAGGTCAATAGAGAGAGAAGCCATGATAGGCCAATAAAAGGACAAAGTAAATTCTTGAGTGCTATGGACCTGATCCAAAGCCCCTTGAAATCAATGGGAGTCTTACCATTGTCTTCAGCTGGCTTTAGATGAGGCCCCCTGAGTTTTAGTGTAGCATTTAGCTAGATATCTGAAAACCAACAAAAACGCCACCTCAAACATATTCCAATACATTGCTATGTTATGCTTGTGGTTAAAGCCTGACAAGTATAAAAAAGTAGCCATTCGTTAGCGGATTATTCAGTCTTTGACAGTTAACTTTTATATCATCTACGTTCCCAGACTATTTAAAACAAGCAGTTTAGAAAAATAAGTTCCCTATCTGCAATTCCAAACTCAAACTTTATGTTTGTTTTCCTGAGGTATTCGCTTTACCTAACAAGCCACGCCAAGAGTGTACATGGACAACCAAAAGTGTGGAAAGACTGGAGGAGCAAACTGTCCAGAGGGCTTTGCCATGCACAACAAAGCGCCGGTCAAACTACAAAAGGCTTTTCTTGCTCGTCAGCCTTAAAAATAAACTGACTCCCACCCCATCCTCAAAATCAAAAGCTTAGGTCTTGTCTACCTGAAAAATGGTTTGCCATACAGATATAACCATATCAGCAAGTGTAGACGAAGGTTATGCTGGCAAAAGCTGATATCAATTTCCTGAACGACAAAATGGATACCAGCAAAAGGATTTTTATGCCTGTATAACTGTGTCTACACTTGGGCTTTTGCTGGTATAAAATGTCATAAAAATAAAGTAAGTCACACGCCGAATAGACATCATTATACTTGCAAAAGTTTTAAGTGTAGACCTGGCCTTACATCACTGCTCTCCTGGCTTGGATGGGTTTAGGCCTTGCCTATACTCAGTATTAGCCTCAGTTCAGCTATCACTGGTCCAGCAGTGCTGCAAACCTCAGTGTGAACAAGGAAAGTTGAATATTGAACCACTTCAATATGCTCCCATTTCAATCAGGGGTAAGATCAAACAGAGTAAATTATAGCTTTCCTTGTCTATTATACCTGGGGTTTGTACCCCTGCAGCTACACTGATTGCTGAATCCTGAATGCAGACAAGCCTTCAGAGTATAGAATGGGAAGGTTGTGTATTAGATATAGGTGCAACACAAGGACTGTTTTTGTTTTTGAAAAACTCTGTTGGCCTACTTTTGATTTTTGCAGGGTCAGTTTCGATCAATTTAGCCAAGGCCCATACAGTATCATAGGGTTTGGATAAAAAGTTCTAGGTTTTTAACTCATCTTTAGGTAAATAAGGTAACTGAGGGTATAAATAAAATATCTGCTTGAGAAGAAGTAGCTAATACTGGTTCAGCTCAGCAAAAACAAGGTGACAACAAAGAAGAGAAGTATCTAGTTGCAAAGTTAAAGCTGTGAAGGTTTGTTTGTTTTGTTTTTCTTTTTCCTTAAAGTGACACACACAAAAAGAATGACCTTCATCGCAAAGATGCATCAAACAACCAGTTGCTATATACAAGCTGGTCAAAAGTGATTTGTTCAAACTCTGCTTTTCCCTTACGATATTATATTGATATTTAATAGGAAAATAAAATACATAGACTTTTTGTCATTTGTATGCATACATTTGCAAATTTTCTTACAAAAGAGGACCAAGCACGAAAGTAGGCATTCACAAATTGGATGCCATTTTTTGTGTTAAAATTGGTATCATCTATACATTATCTTACAGTATTAACAATGTCTTTTTTTTTGTTTGTTTGTTCTACCCATTGGGTAGGATATGTGCATAATATATTCAAGTTATATACAGCACCTTACAAATAAAACTCAGAAGAAGAGACAGACAACTGAAGAAGCACCATTTTAAGTGAGGCACAACAAAGGTGGGAGCATAGGACTTGAGCCAAAGTCCACTGAAATCAGTGGGAGTCTTTCCATTGACTTCAATGAGCTTCGGATCCGGCCCCTCGAGTGCAAGCGGATTCCTATCTGCTCAGACCTGAACACGAGGCCCCTTAGTTGCTTACAAACTACTAACATGCAAACCTCCTCAAAATTATATCGAATATATATGTATATATTTATTTATTTATTAATACCCCTACCACAGCAGACAGACAAGCACAAACTGAGGCGAGAAAGAATGAAGAAAAAGACAGCTCTGTCACCCACGTGATCTGAATACATACCATGTGGTATCAGACAACTCACATAGCAAACCATTTAAAGCAGCAGCAGCAGGAAGACAGCAAAGAAATGAGACACAGGCCTCTCTGGCAGTAAATCACACACAGGGCGGGGTTCCTTGGGAGGTGGGGGAAGTATTTTTGTTTGTTTCTCTCCGTTTTAAACACAAAAAGGTACAATATTTTAGCACTAAAGCGATGCTAGCTTTGCTTGTATTTATTCTCGAGCTGTAACACAAAATATGCCAAGGCAGAAGTACAGCCAGAAGGAGAGGTTTTGACATTTTCAGTACAAACCAAGCTCAACCTTCCCTGCTTTGCTTTGGGAGCAGAGAAATGTAGAGTGAATGATTGCAAATGAGGTGTTTGTGGCCTTTAAATGTATTAAAGCAAAATATTTGTGGCTGATTTACAAAGCATTAATCAGCTTCTAAATTTTGCATTGGTGCTATTTACTGTTTGGATAAAGCACTTCATCTACATTGAGCCTTGCTTACACATGGAAGGGTTTGCTCAACTGCTGGAAATGGCCCACCTTGATTATCACTACAAAAGGTCCCCCACTCTCCTGCTGGTAATCTCTCATCTTAAGTGATCACTCTCCATACAGTGTGTATGGTAACACCCATTGTTTCATGTTCTCTATGTATATAAATCTCCCCACCGAATGCATCCGATGAAGTGAGCTGTAGCTCACGAAAGCTTACGCTCAAATAAATTTGTTAAGTCTCTAAGGTGCCACAAGTACTCCTTTTCTTTTTGCGAATACCTATATACTGGCAAATCCCCGGTGGAGATGCAGCTTATACCAGTTCCCCGAATGGAGTATGCTAGACTAGCAAAAGGACTTTTGTGCCACTTGTTTAACTGTATTTACATTTGGGCTTTTGCTGACGTACCTATGTTAGTCAAGGGGGTGGGGATCACATCCCGAGCAACACTGCTATGCCAGCAAAACTGCTAAGTCCAGACCAGGCCTGAGCCAACATTCATAGGTGGGCCTTGGTCTGGATTTTAAAGTGGGACCCTATAACGAGAAGTGTAAATTGTAATTTAAAAAGGAAACATAGCAAGTAAAGAGAAATTAGAATAAAACTCTGAAAGTTCAGCTGAAATGATGTAACTCAGACAAATCCCCACAAGGATTTCTTACATTTGAAATGCTGCTATAAGGGCCCCTATAGATGTTAAACAATTCTATGACAGTGCCTCCTTGGGAGAGGGAGGGGGTTAAAACAAAAGTGAGACATTTGGGGTTAGTTTTGGGGCATGTACATAATGGGAAAGGCCAACCATATTTCACAAGATTCTTACAACAGCCCTTAAATGGAACAGAAAACAAAAGTAACCTAAAGCAAAGCTTCATCTGAGCCAACTCTCAAACGTGGGTCCCTTGTTAGTACCACACAGGCTTATTAGACACAATGTGCTTCTGTAGTTTTAAAAATCTGTTTCACTGCAGTAGCTCAGTACAAGCGGTCTCCTGCAGGGCAGTCCCCAAGATATGAGGACTGCTGTCCAAAGCATCCTAAAGAGGAGAGCTGTTGGATGGAAGATGCACCAGTGCCCCATGTCAGAGTTGGGAACCTGGGCAACTGGTTGAAGCAGGGTACTGTACATTATTCAAAGGGCGAGGGAAGAGAGCAGGTGCTCCTCACACTTTCAACCTTTTGAGTGGTTACCTGCCACTGCCCAGGCATGTAACAGAGCCATGTTCAACAGTAGGATTCAAAATAGTTTACTATAGCAGGAAAGGGACATTTTAAACTGGCTTATGACAGAAAATAAACCCATGCAGCATCCCTGGAAGTTGTTTATAGAATAATAACTAATATCTGGATAACTAGAACAGATAGAGAGAAGGTGTGCACGTCTGTGTTGGCAAACACACCCACGCACACACACAAAATGGTCACGTATGGCATGAGTCCCAGGCAGGGCAGCTATGAGAGTTTCTGGGAAAATCCCAAATATCCAAATCCCAATTAATCCTTTTGAACACACCAGCAGGTGTTTTGTTTATTCCTCCTGCTTAAAAGATTTTTAAGAACAATTTTAGAGTGTGTGTATTTTGATTGCTTATTTTCTTGTAGTCCTTGCCTGTAAAGCCAGGTTGCCTTAGTTACCATGAGTGTGCAGGCCTCAGAGTCAGAGAAATGTTAGTTATAAAACATTTTTAAAACCTTCAAACATTTCTCACAAATGCAGGTGTCAGTTTTAAGGTTCCATGACACACTCTCTGTCAGGGCTAGAAATGAATGCTTCCTACAGGAGAACACTAGAAAGCCTGCACTTTGAGTTCTTCACTGGGCTAAAGCTTTTTTCCTAGTGAATTGTGCTATTCTTGCACAGCAGTGTAATTTCAATCCCCATTTTCACCCAAGCCACAGTTATGGGAAAAATTTTAGTGGCAGGCTCTTTTTCATTTGACACTAGTAGTTTTGAGATTTGGAACATCAGAAGTAGCTCCAACTGGGATGGATTAGTGGGCAGAATGAAAATGAGGACAAAGGTGCAAAATAAATGCAATTAATTGCACGGTTCCAATTAATTCTATGGTTGCAGAAACAAAAAGAAAGGAAGTTATTCTGTTGATCGTGACTGCATACACAGAACGTGTGTGTGTTTTCTCACATACAGAGAGTGAACAACGGTGTGGTAAAATGTTATCAGCATGAGTTTGAGTTAGATGCATTCCTCATGAGTGACAAAGCCATGAGTGGGGCGTACAGAAATCATCCCAAACTAATGATGACCAAACCTTCCTATCACATCACAGTATCATGTATTCTCTATATGCCATACATCTTACAGAAATGCTATCTTAAGAATACTTGAGAGAGCTTTTAACATTTTTATTGGGACTATTTTTCATCTCTCATTCATACCTTATAGTCAGGTGCCTCACATACCAGGAGGCCAACTGCGCCGTGCTCAGAAGGAGCCAGGCAAACCTCTAAAAATAGGCTCGAGAGATTTTTCTGTAATTCCAGGGCTAGAAGTGATATGTATCCCACTGGGAAGTTTGTAATCCCCTCTTCCTTTCCTAGCCCTGTAAGACCGCCAGGCAACATACACTGAAGATTAGACATTTTTCTATCTAGAAAAGCTGACACCAGTCCAACAGCTGAAACTTGTCCAGCCTGGGCCTTGGAACAAGGTAATTTTTGGGAGGAATTCTACATTTGAGGGGGAGAGAGGAGGAGGGAATATCTATTTCTGACAGATTAAATTTTTTTAAAGTAACAGCTGTTTGAAGTTGCTCAGAAATGTGGAGTATTTGAATAAATCTTGGGGAAGATAGGTTGTTGGGCAGAGGGCAAGTGAGGCAGTCAGAGGATAAAAACCTCTACATACGTGGTATATTTGTGTGTATTTTATATATAATATACTTACCTGGACACACACACACACAAATGAAACATGTATGTGGAGTTTTACCTATGTGATAATCTATAGAACATATATCAATTTAATAGTTTAAAAATTACATTTGGGTGGCTAGGAAGGTTTAGAATATGGTCCTGAGTCTTTTTACAGAGAATCCTCCAGAATTGCTGCGTAGAATTTACCTCCCTTGAGAGAATGCCCATTTTTGAGCCTGAACAGATTGACAGCGACTTCTTGTTTGATATCATTTTTTCTTATTTTCTCTTTCGGAGTTCAGTTCTAACAGTACTGGCGTGTTCTCTGTTCTCTATGAGCAGAAAGAAAGAAAGAGCACTCCTTTGTAATATTGTTGGCAGAATCCACCTCAGAGATTACTAACATTCATTAAGATATAATCAGAATGAAGTCTAAAAATCGCTTTTTGCAGAGTGGAGAAAATGTGTTACTTCTTCTGCAGCGTTTGTAACCCTAGTTCAAGGAAACCTAACAGACCACTTTGGTAGGTGTTTTCTTCTGTATGTGCATGCATCACATCCATCAATGTTCATGGGAGTTACACCAACACACTGGGACACTAGGATGGAAAGATGGTAAAGGGTTATCCTCAAAGAAGATACGTTCCCAAGAGGTGGCTTTGAAGTTAATAGATGTGGCTTTAATGAGATCTGCAGAGCAGTGGGACAGCTTGTATTCAAACTGGTCCAAAGCCCAGGACTGTTTACCTGCCCTTCTCCTGACCCAGTGGTTCCCTGACAGAATGACAATTGATTTCCATTTGTTCTCTGACCTAGATGTCTCAGGGCTGAATAATCCTGATCTAGGCAACAACATACTTCTGCTCACCTTTAATAGCAACAAACTCCCTGAAGTGACTTAAATTGTGGATACTTCCTGTGGCCTAAACCTGCAGGTCATCTGTAAATTCCTAATTCCAAGATGTATTACTCCCAGAAACTATAAAAGGCAAGAGCTATAATCGACAGACAGCTAGTCAGTCATCCCATAAACATCTGTGCTGGGGGCTGCGCTAAATCCAGTCTCCTACTTCTCTCTTCAAATATAGCTACATAAATAAAAAGGGTTCACTTTGCATTACCAGGGACAATTCAGATCAAGAAACAAGCAGATTCTGATCAGTTATAAACGGGGCTGTCTGTTCAGAATATAGTTATTCCAATATTCATCAAGCTAGAATAGTACAAAGTCACCTCACTAAGGAAGTTATCTATACAGAGACCCATAAAATGAACACACACATGCATACACACACGCTGTTTTGGCATTAAAACTCTGCATAGATCAAAGATTCGCTTCAGTAATCAATGTTTCAATCAAGCCCTGTAGTATGTAGAAGTCACACAGAAATCCAATCTCCAGCAATCGGAACAGGTGCTGTACAATACAGTACTTTTCTGCAGTGCATTTCATGCACTCGTTGGTTGCTGCTGTTAACAAAGCACTAGGCTTAAGACCATAGAAAAAGTGAGACCTTACAGTGAAAACTCTACTACACATATATATTAGGAATATTACAACTAAGACTCTAAAGATTCTTTTTTTCTTTTAAAGTCCATTTCCAAAATGCATTTTAAGTGCATGTTGTGCTTTTTCTGTGTGCTCTTGAAGTCACTACCACCATTGTTCAATTGACTTCCAAATCTTACATTAGCTTCGGCACAGAAGCTAACCACGGAAAGAAAGCAAAACCCTAAGCAACATTCGTCAGGCAGACACATATCTTCCAATTACTTTGAGACCAGAATTACAAAAATAGGGCCAGATCCTACACACAAACACACACATGTGAGTGTAATCTTTACCCATGTGCCTAGTCTCATTGGGCTCAATGGGATTACGTGCATGAGTAAGGGTTTGTGGGATCAGGCCCATACGAAAAGGCTAATGGCTTACAGTGAGATTAACCAGGGTTTCCAAGTCACTTCCAATGGTTTTCTAATGCTGCAGAAACCATTGCCAATATCACTAGCACTGTAAAAAGTATCACATGTGTTGCAGAAACTGCATAGGAGGGGGTATGGTTACTGATGTCCACTTGCGTAAACAGGATTAGCATAAAATTCTCCAGTACAGAATTTAAATAGAAATTGGACAGTAAATGCACAAGAAAGAGTCACATATTTTAACTGCATTCTGGGGGGACGGGACAGAACTACCTTGCATTTTTAAACAATTTATTGCATAATGTCAGGATATGTGACTAAATATATTTCAGGCTACACTGAAGACAACATCTCTAAAACCTTACGTATTAACGATACTGCATTGTGAAAAGGAGAAAAAAAATTACAGTGCTTTGTTAATAATTAATATAAATTAGTATATCTGGGATTTTGTTTTGCTTTTAATGAAACAAATGGCCTAAACTGTATAATAGCTAAAACAACCTAAGTGATGTGAAATGCTGGAATTTCATGTTTGCTTACTTCCATCCAAAAGTCTCCAAGACACTTCATTGATGCACTGTCATTTTAATGCAAATTACTGCAAAGATAATAACATGTTAAGTGTCCCTGTATTGCCTGATTATGTAAGTCAATAGGTGTTAGGCTAAATTCAACAATCCCCTTTCAGTGACAAATACCAGGTGGGGCAAACTCCTCCAGATTACTCCTGGGGTCTAATCATTATTCCACAGGTTTTGAAAAGACAACATATAGAAGAACTTCACGTAAAACAGTTCCCTCATATATATATTTTTTAAAACATTAAGATAGTGCAACTTTTTAAAACACATTTTTCACAACACAAATTAACTCCTTGCATTCATCTAATTTCTCAACTTTACACCTTGGCACACAAAACAGGAATTTTGATTCATATAAAAAAAATTCCACACCTTGGGAAAAAAAAGCAAACTGGCCGATTCTTCCCCCATTTACCTAGCAAAACTTTCTTCTCATTTTCTTCTTTCTGCCATTCAGTTAATATAAAACAGGCTGTACAAGCCTAATTTCTGTGCTAAGTTTCCTTTTAGAATTAAATAATTCAAATAGTTTATTTAAAAAAAATAATATATATTTTCCCCCAAAACACTGCTCATGGCCAAACTGAATGGAAGTTTGTATTATCTCAATCCACTTTGCATGCAATTCCCCTGAAATGAATCAGAACGAACTGGTTTGCACGTTTGGTTTTACTACATTGTACCACGTGTAACTTAACAACATTGTGCACAGGAATGTGGGAATTTTCCTCCACATTCCTGTTTGATTCTCTTGTCTTCAGTTCAAGTGCACCTGGGAAAGTAACTTAGACAAGGTTTCCTGGTTTCCTGTCTTTGCCTTTAATAGGGACTATTGTGCTCTCTGAATTGTTCTGCTGAAACTGAAGTCTGCTCCCCCTCTGTGATGAAGGAGGCGCATTGTTGTGCTGGTGATGGAAAAAAGAGGAGCCTGGATAATTACCCATGACCTCACTGTATGTTGGGGGTGGTCCTTCCATCCTTCCATTACTGCTATAGTTGGTTGCACTTATGCCCGAATTGCTGCTTGGTGGGCATGGGCCCCCATTGTACGTTGAAATGTCTATCAAGTCACTGTCAAAAATGGTTCTGTTGGGTGGAGCCCTGACAGACTCTCGATTGAGTTCCATCTGCTGTTCTGGGTCCCGGAGCTGCAGCGTGCATGGCCCTTGGTATGGTGGTGGCTCTTCTCCATCAGAGAGGGAGATGGTCGGAGGAAGGTCAATCTCATGCTGCATGTAAGGGTAGGTTGGCTGGAAGCGACTGAAACGGTCCCGCTGCATGAATGATGGAGCGGTAAACCTGTCCCTGGACCTTGGGGCATACATGATCTGAAAAGGTAAGAGGGAGCTGTGAATCCACTTCCAAGCATCACCCAGCAAAACATTATGGGTATTAATTAGTTATCAAGGGCCAACAAAGAGAAAATGGTCACTGCCGCAGGGAGTTGACAAGTTAGCTCAGACACAGATTAAACAAGTCAGATGCACACAGTCACAGGCATGATTGCAGCTCATGGAGACATACCCAAGATAGCTTTAATCTAGCTAGTTTGGGCACCAGAGCAATGAAGCTTCAGCAGCACTTGCTGCAGCACGGACTATACAAGCCTGCCCGGAGCCCTGGATAATTACTTGCACTGCTAGCCTGTGCTGAAACTCATACTGCTGCAGCTTCACTATTCTGGTACCTGAGATAGCTAGACAAAGCTAGCTCGGGGATATCTGCACCCTATGATTGCAGCATGGAGACACACGCCCAACAGTGGTAGTGTGAGTCGGAGGTGGGGTAAAGATCCAGAAGAAGTAATTTGTGAATGGCTTTAAAAATGAGGAGGGTTCCCTAAAGGGTTTTAATCCCCCACCTCCTTGTCAAGTTATAAAAATGTTCACCCAGGGAGGGGGGCGAAGAGATTCTACTCCTTTAAAGATAAAACATTCCAGAAAAGTTATTTCTGTTTCCACCCCCGAAATAAATTAGTTGCGAACCTAAGAAAATATCCCAACATTGATTTTTGGCCAATGAGAGCCTTGCTTCCTACACAGATTAAAATCTTGCTTTGTAGAGGAATCCAGATGGTCATTTTAACTGAACTGAAAAATGTCCAAGACATCTCACACTCTCACCATGAGAAAACGTCACCTTTTTCCTTCGACCTCAATGCTTAGCCAGGGTCCAAATCCCTTGCTCCAGTGCAGAATCCTATTGATTTCATAGAGATCATGCGTGGACTTACAATTTAAAGACAATGATTCACATTATCTAGTCAATAGAAGTTGTGGGCACCCAGAACCTCTCGGACCTAAAGTTATTAAATTATTATTTTACTCTTTTGATCTAAATTTAAAAGACTTCATTAACCAACTTGTAGGCAAGTCAACCAAACAATGTTTTTTGAGGGAGGTGAAATATATGTTAGAAGCAGTAAAGCAAATCATTGAAAGTTACCAAGAAATTAAACATTACCTCTGAAGCACCTTGTCGTGACACTGAGCTGTCTGAAGGCCACAAGCACCCTTCCTAGCAGGAGAAAGAAAACAGAGGAGAATATTAACTTCTTGCATAATTTTTATTTCAACTTAAGACAACTTTTCAGAACAATCAGCTTTCATCAGTTGGTTACATTCATCAAAAGAAGCATTATTAAAAAGTAACCTATCGCTTCTTTTGCTGTTGAAATCTGAACCCAGAACTCAGCCAAAACCACAGAGAGCAAACATAAGTGCGACATTCAAACTAAACCATCTTTAAAATTTGCTTTTTTCCATTTAGTACAAGCTTGCACATTCGCCTGTTTTCCTGGAATTTCACGTGACTTTCCTTACCTTTCTTGCAATACTATGGGCTACTGCACAAGACCCAAATGGTCCCCAACAGAATCTAACATTCATGATCTCATTGGTTAGTCTCTCTCTCTCTCTCCACATACACTCTTCCCCCATGAAATAATATTCTGAGGATCTCTTTGGTCAACCCAAGGGTAGAGTAGTGTACAAGTATGACCATTGGGGGTAAGCAAGGTTTCACCCACCAATTTCCATTCCTCAATCCCTATCCTCAGCCATCTCCCTGCTAAGGATTTTCTTTCTTATGCTACTAATGCATTTTTGACACTTTAGAACATTAAGGGCAGAATGAAAGCACGAACAAAACATAAGAAAATGTCAATAAGGGAAAAAAGCTTAAGGTATATTGTTATTTCATTACATTTTTCTTTTCAGAGCAGCAATAACTACCTTAATGTCTTTATTTCACTTGAAACTATCACAGCTGAAAGGAATACAGCTTTAAGATAAATCCAAAAGGGACAAGAGAAGCTGTAAAGCACAGAAATTCAGTCGAAATGTGGCAAAATAAAAATGTTATTTCTACGAAGTAATTGGCTTTGCTGAAGCATCTCCATTATGATAACTTTCTTGGAACTAAGTCAATTCTGTCATGATACAAATATAAGAAATGCCAGTAACAGGAAAAAGCCATGTTTCCCCTTTGGGTTTATTGTAAATTTCACCTTCCTGCTTTTTCACCATGCCCCTCAATCCTCCTTTAAAAAGATCTCCTTTATCTCCTTTCCTGCAATCTGAAGTTGCACCATTTAAAATAAGATAAAGATTTTATAGTATTGTATTTGTAGTCTCTCACTCTCTCTTGCTATTTCTCTATCAATCAATATACTGAGATATAGTAATTCAATACTAAAAAAAAAAAATCTATGGCTCTTACCTTATTTTCACTCATCAGTTGATCACTAGGTATAAACAATAACTACTTTCCCTTTCCGAATAATTCACCAGTTATTTTTTTTAAATAAAGGAGTTGTGATTTTTAGACTTAAATAAAGCAGTGGATGCCTCTCAGTCCTGGCACTAGCTCCTGCTCCTCCACCAGCCAAGACTCAGCTCCATGTTGCTGACTGGGGTGGGAAGAGTTAGCTATAAGAAGTTTGCCTCCAGAGGGACTGCCTCCTGGCTCAGTTCTTTTACCATGTGTTGCTAGGTTGGGCTATGGCATTTGTGACTCTTAGGATGTTGTGGGGTTTGAATATTCTAACTAAAGGGATGCTGTTCAATGATGTTTTTAAAAGATGTGGTTTCTACATTAATTATTATGCTATCAAGGCATAGCTGGGAGAGTATGCTCCCTTAAATTTTTCTCCCTAGTATGGTAGATGATGGGCATTGCCGAACTGGGCTTCAAGATATATACTTAGGAAGAACAATCTCATGTATTGAGCCCTACATTTGATTCTTTTCAAAGAGTATTAGATTTTGGGATGGAAGATGATATGTCTCTTCATGCTAAACTAATAATTAAAAAATATTAGAAGTAAAAACCTTAGCATTCCAGCTAGGTCTTCTCATGGTGTATTCCTGCTTTGGGTACTAATTTATGGAGAGAAGCTTTAGATTTAGGTCCTGAAAGAATAATGGCAGTTGATAAAGCTTATTGTATTCACACTAAAAGGTCTTAAAGTAAAGATAATAGTCAAGGTTTAGAGCTTGTGATATTGCATATGCTTCATAAAATAATTTCCTTGTTTTGTATTTCACAAAGAGATTTATCAGGCAGGTGACTTTTCAAAGCCATTTTTACATATTTTGTTTCCTGATGCCTCCAAAGTCGCCCAGCTTCCTCAGTTTAAAGTCAACAAATCAACAAATAGGGAGTGGAGGGGAAGAATTTGTTGGAAGACATTTGTGCAATGTCGTCAATATTTTTAATTAAACCAAGGTAAATTAGAAGCACAAAATTATGATTAATAAAAATTCAGAGACTACAATGAAGCAAAAATATCTGACTGGCTCCACATTTCAAAAAGGAATATTTCTAGTGAGACTGAAGAAAAACTCCCTTTAAACTCATCGACATTCTCAACCAATTGCATCAACTCCTCTGTCACTTTGGAAACTTCTGAAGGATTTTTGTTTCTGTTTTGTTGGTGGGGTTTTTATTAGTTTGTTTGCCAGTTATCGCTGGGACTGCAGAAATTCTATATTTACTCTGGGTTTGCTTCGATATCATTGAAATAGACTATCCCCCTATACCCCACTTTTAAGTTTCCGGGCTGATCTGTCTGAGATATTCTCTTTCTGTCATGCATTATGGGTGTTTCCCAATTACGCAGCAAGTCTGGCAGACAACCGGAACTAGAACCCTGATTTCAGTTCAGTACTGTACTTTCTCATGGCTTATCATCACTACCCTTGGATGCCAGTGAAAGTTTGCTCCATCGGGTATAGCTAATGCTGTTCCCTTCAATGCACATGACATGAGGGCACTGGGATGGACTTGCCTCCATTAGCAAAGAGCGTGGGAGAGAGAAATAGGAGTTTAAATTAGGAGAAGAAACCCAAGCAAAAAGGCCTCAGGCTGGAAGCCCCCACCATTACCCCAAAGTCTAGAGCCATGTTCCCAGCAGAATATATTTTGAAAATGTTGTGTTAGTATGCTTACAGTAGAAAGGCATATCATATGTACAGACAATCGTGACCGCTGATAAGTCAAAGCACTCCTTTCTTTCTGAAACTAAGGCTGTGTCTACACTGTGCACCTCACAACAGCCTGGTTTTATGGTGCGCAGTGTGGCCACTCCTTGTCGTCAAGAGAGAGCTCTCCCGGCGACAAAATAAAACCACACCCCCAACGAGGGGCAGTAGCTTCGGTGCTGGGAGAGCATCTCCCACTGCCAAAGCGCTGTCCATACCAGCACTTTTTGTCATTAAAAGTTTTGTCGTTCAGGGGTGTGTTTTTCACACCCCTGAGTGACAAAAGTTTTAACAACGGAAGTGCAGTTTAGAGATGGCCTAAGATTCCTATTCCTTCTGCCCACCTAAACTGTGCAGCCACACTTTTTGCAGATTAAATTTTTCTGAGTGTAGTTTTTAATTTTGACCCTAGGTGGCAGTAACTGGTTGCAGTTAGAGCCTCAGTCTGACTGTTTTTAGAGTTAGCCAACACACACTAGTTCTCGCCACAATCTATTTCTTCTTTGGAGGCACAGACTGTCATATTTCTTAATGATCAGCAACACTTCCCCTTTACAACATAAGCAAAACAAAACTTGTATGCCCCAGTAGAACAAGCAAACATTACAGCAAGATTTCTCTCTCCCTTAGAAATCCTGTTTCCTAAGTGCAAGCACAGTGATGGTGTTTTGCACAAGGCTGTGCAATGACAAAGAGACAGGGTACTGGGATGGTAAGGGGAAAATTAATCAGGGAAAGAACTGCATTTATACTTGTCTTCTGACTAGCTACAGCTAGCAGAAATAATGACCATGAATATACTTAAAGCTTTTACATCCTTGGACTTCACTGTACAAGCATTAGCTAACCTTCAAGTTGTCCCTTAATGTGAGTGAATATTATTATCCTCACTTTGCATTTCAAGAATAAGAAATGACTTCCTCAAGGCCCCTCACTGAGTCAGTGGCAGATTAGAATCCAGGAGTTCCTTGCTCCTTGACCCTGGACTATGCTACCCCCGTTAAAGGAGATGCTGTGCCTTTATTAGGGTAGGCTTCAAACAACAATGGCCAGAACACTCCAACAAATGAGTAACTTTTTAAACACACTGTGGTGGCTTTATGTTTACTCGTATCACAAAATCACCAAACAATTTCCCATAACTGGCTATCTCTGCTTATCAACTCATGGGCTAGAGCCCTCTTTCGGACAGTGGGACCGGAGAAGGTGGCATACAAGACCCAGTTCCTTCCACCTTATGGATGAGGGAGAAAGGCAACTCAGACCAATTCAAATCAGAGTCCCTTCTGGCAGTACATTTTGAGGAGAAGCATAGATGAGCCAATCCCCCTGCACTCCAGCAGCAATCAGAGAGCAAAGGCAATACATGTCCAATCCCCTCCTGACAACTGGGATACTGCAAACTGCAAGGCTAACCCTGCGCACAAGGGTTAATAAAGAGGGCAATGAGGGTGAAAATATTGCTATGCTCTGGTGATAAAGTTATAGCATTGGCACTTATTTCTTGTGGCTGTTATCTGGGAACTTATTCCCACTGGGTTTCTTTTATTTCTAAAGTTAAAATAATGGAAGGAAAAATAGGTAATGCTGGGCTGCCAGCAGTGGATAGAACTAGTAATGCTAATGCAATAAAAAAAGGAAATACAATTTAAAGGGGATCAATCGAAGCCAAAGTTCAACATCACCAAGCCAATCCCTGGAATTTTCATATTATTTAACAGTTCCTTTTGTTGTTGCCATCGTCATGCCACACAGGCAAGGACTGCTGTTTGTTGCTTTTCTCCTGAATTGCCTGTTCCAGCTAAATTCAGGAAGAGCACAGTACTTTCACAACTGCTTTCCTGGAATAGTATCTCAGAGTACCAGATAGGCATTATCAATATACATACTACTGAAAGCTGGCTGACTGTAACAGAGATCCCTCTCACAGAGATTGGAAGCAGCGATGCTGGGACCAATCATTTGCGAGTGTCTTGCATGGTGCATGTCTCCTATGGCATTCTGCAAGGGATTTTTTGCTGCCAGGAGTGGGCC